GTTTGCGTCTTACTGAACCTATTCTTAAGAAATTGTTCTTTTTATTGTAAGAAAAAGAAAAAAGGACTACTTAAACATTTGTCATATTAAGAAACAAAGTTTATCTAGCACTTGTGACATACCAATAATAGAGTTTATTGTATTTATGTGGAAACAGTTGTTTTAGGGAAACTACACAGAATTCGAGGTGAACTGCCCGTCTCTCTTCCGTTGACTTGGAGGCATTTGCCTCGCTTTGTTTTGTTTGTTCCTTGGATCTTGCACAGGGCCAGGCGCGCGCGCTGCCCTCCGGCCGGCCCGGTGGCCGCCGACGGTGACGGTGCACAGCCCCGGAGAGCCCCTTTCCGCACAGCTGTGGTGACTTTCTAGTTACTTGTAGACCACGCGTGGCCAAGATGTCACTTTAAGCCGAGAGTCGTGGCCTGTGTGAGCGCCGCGGGTTCAGACCCTCCTTTGCACGGAGAGGAGACCCTTTCTTCCTCGCCACGACGCGGAGCTCGTCCCCGGCCCGGCTCGCCTCGTCCGACGTGACGACAAGTCTGCGCCCGGAGCAACGAGCAGGCGGACACTTTTGTTTGTTCGGGTTTTCGGTGTGTGTGCCCCGCAGGGGAGGCGCTCTTTCCCAGTTGATGAGAATGACCCGTATTATAATGTAAACAAGGGGGGCTGACCCCGTTTACCCAAGAGCTTGCACAGAGCTGCAGCGCCGCCGCGGCCCGCGTGTGGCCCGTCGGCGCGCTCCGGGCCGGGTCCTCGCCGCGGCAGCCTCCCGTTTTTCTTCTGTGACGTAATCCGTTCCCTCCGACCGTCTGGACCTGCCAGCGGTCCTTTCTTTCTTTTTGCTCCGTGCAGTTGGAGATTCTGTTCCCGGTTTTCTCATTCTCGTTCTGTTCCGTGTGGGCGGGTTTTCCCCGACGGCCGTGTCCCCTCCTCTGACTGCCGACTCCACTTCACCCGGAGTCCAGTGTTTGTACCTCATCAGACAGCTTGTTGCTCTCGTGGTGTAAATAAAACAGCATCTCTGGTTTCTGCCGTGTGCTCGCGTCCTCTCTGGCCCGCCCGCCCCTGCCCCGGGCTCCCCCATCGTGGGACGAGAATCGCTGCAGCCCCCGCGGGCGGCCCCTGGGACCCAGACGCTCGGACCTGTCGCCCTTTGCCCGTTCGGGCCGGTCCCGTGGGCAGATCTTCGCTTTAGATGCCCTCCTACCATTCCCTGAGCTATTTGGCCGCCTCCCCCCAGCCGGCAGGCGCCTCCCCAGAGGGGGCGAGTCTGCAGACCCAACCACAGCCACCGCCCCCCCCCGGTCCCCCAGCAGCATGTTGCCTCCCCCGAGTGACCACCCCACTTCCGGGCCCCCGTGCTCAGTGACTAATGAGTCGGGATGGGGGGGTGGGTGGAGGCCGGCCACTTGGGCCCCCTGAGGACGGCTGGGGCCATTCCCCTCCCCGTGGGTTGTCAGCCTCCTTCCTAAACACTGCGGGGTCTCCCTGACTGTCACCAGCCCGTGTCTGGGGGCAGGAACCTGGGCACAGCTCCATGGGAGGCCTGTGGCCTGAGGTCCCTTCTGCAGGTGCAGCCACAGTGTCGGTAGGGCTCACGTGGGGGACCCGCCTCCAAGCACACCCCCGGTGGTGGGCAGGCCCCCTTCGCCTGCTGCACCGACCACCCTGCGGGTCGCAGCCACCAGCCCCGGCGCAGGAGACACAGGTGAGGCAGGGAGACCCTGAGAGCGCACCCGAGAGCCGACACAGGCCTTCTCTAACCTGATGTCACAGGTGAGGTGCCGTCACTTCCCCGCCTCCGTCAGCCGTCACTCGAAGCCAGCCGGGAGGCCGGCCCACACCCCCACCCCGGGAGGCAAGGGCCATGCAGCCTGCCCACACCACACCCGCCTCTGGCTTCGTTTGGTTTCTCTCAAATCCCGACAGCTTTGCCTTCAGAATGTGCCAGTA